GAGCCTGGCACGAGGACCGAGACCATAACAAGCGACAAACATAGCATGCCAAAAAACAGTCCCAGAAAACAACTTACGTTACTCTGGCATGGAGTCTTCCCTCCCGCCTCTTCTCGGTCAACGATGTCGTTGCACTGACAATCATTCCCAGGTGTCATGCCGCTGCTGTAAGAGGAGCAGAAGAGAGGAGAGGAGCAGAAGAGAGCAAGGCAGCAGAAGAGAGGAGGGCAGCAGAGAGGAGAGCAGAAGAGAGGAGGAGAGCAGAAGAGAGGAGATCAGAAGAGAGGAGGAGAGCAGAAGAGAGCAAGGCAGCAGAAGAGAGGAAGGCAGCAGAAGAGAGGAGGGGAGCAGAAGAGAAGAGTGCAACGGAACATGAGATAGGATTGAAGTTATTCATTCAAATCAATGGAAGCAGAAAAATGCGTGACAGGAGAGACGACTGATCACAGCATAATCCAAGGATGGAGCAGGAGGCTAACCGGTGCAGCAGGGGTGGAGCGGGAGGCTCCCTGGTGCAGCAGGGGTGGAGCGGGAGGCTCCCCGGAGCAGCAGGTATGGAGCGGGAGGCTCCCAGATGCAGCAGGGGTGGAGCGGGAGGCTCCCCGGTGCAGCAGGTGTGGAGCGGGAGGCTCCCCGGTGCAGCACGGGTGGAACGGGAGACTACCCAGTGCAGCAGGGGTGGAGCGGGAGGCTCCCCGATGCAGCAGGGGTGGAGCGGGAGGCTCCCCGATGCAGCAGGGGTGGAGCGGGAGGCTCCCCAGTGCAGCATCTCACTCAACTTTTGATCGCTTTCGTTAAAAAATAAGCTCATTTGTTTTGAGCAGCGGTGACGGAAGAATGCAGTACAAAAGTGGGCAATGATAAACACGAAGCAGAAGCGGAAAGGATGGCAAGGGCGAAGGGAGAGGGAACTTAGCCGTATGGGGGTGCTTGCATGACAGTGGCGTGAGGCTTCCAGGAGGCTCGCACACCGCTGTGACTGCCTGCCGCGCGTCATCCCACCGCCCTCCCTCCCCGCACCATGCTGCCATAGCACCGGACGAGATGGGAAGGAGAGCAAGAAAACAGAGCAGGGGAAAGGAAACCAAGTAGTCAGTAGAAGCATGAAAGCAGTGAAATGCATGCATGGACACAGAGATAACAAGAACGATGAGTAGAGGAAACGAAAGTTGAAGATAAAAAGCACGTGGCACTGTGACGCTGTGATGGTAGCACACAGCACTAGGGCGCCGAGCTAGCAGGCAAATTTGGAAAGGACGCAGCATGAGTATGAATGCATTCTATTCTAACCCCCTACGACTCTAGTATGAGCTCAAGCCGCCCCAGTGCCATGCGCTACCATCGCCAAACGCCACTCATCTCTCACTCAACTTTTGATCGCTCCCATTCGAGAATGGGCTCATTTGTTTCGAGCACGCGGTGACGGAAGAATGCGGTACAAAAGTGGGCAATGATAAAACACGAAGCAGAAGTGGTAAGGATGGCAAGGGCGAAGGGACAGGGAACTTGGCCGTATGGGGGTGCTTGCAGGACAGTGGCGTCAGGCTTCCAGGAGGCTCGCACACCGCTGTGACTGCCTGCTGCGCGTCATCCCACCGCCCTCCCTCCCCGCACCACGCTGCCATAGCACCAGACGAGATGGGAAGGAGAGCAAGAAAACAGAGCAGGGGAAAGGAACCCAAGTAGTCAGTAGAAGCATGAAAGCAGTGAAATGCATGCATGGACACAGAGATAACAAGAACGATGAGTAGAGGAAACGAAAGTTAAAGATAAAAAGCACGTGGCACTGTGACGCTGTGAAAGCGGAGGCGATGGTAGCACACAGCACTAGGGCACCGAGCTAGCAGGCAAGGGTGACGAGGTAAGGAAGGGACGCAGCATGGGTATGAATGCTTTCTATTCTAACCCCCTACGACTCTAGTATGAGCTCAAGCCGCCCCAGTGCCATGCGCTACCATCGCCACGCTGAATTGACGTTTTGGATACGAGCACGCACCAAGAAAGCAAAGCGACAGGACATTGAACCAAAGACAGAAAGCGATTCGGATGGCAAGGAAGCGAGTAGGGCTTCAGAGGGGACTTAGCTGTGGGGTGGTTGAACGACGGGATCCATCGCGTTCGCCTTTCTCCTTCGCCTCCGCCTTCGCCTCCTCCTTCTCCTTCGTATTCGCATTCGCATTCGCCTCCGCCTTCCTCGACCGCCTTCGCCTTCATCACCAATGTCAGCTCCGTCGGCGATGGTCGTCGCTCCATCCACATTGCAGCTCCACTGATCGCCTCCGCCTTCGCCTTCCCGTCAGCAAGCGCCGTCGTCGTCAGAACTCCACATCTGGAAATCCGGTCTTACTTTGCCTGCAGTCGCCTGCACCTCTGCACATCGGGAAGCTTTTTAATACGGTCTGTGCCTCGGTCCTTGTCTTAAAAGTTGTTGTCGTGGTGTACGACAGAGCTGCGTCATCGGTGCTGCCTGAAACAGCTGTGGCTGTCGCCAAGTGAACCATGCTTCATGACGGCTCAGATGCATCACGACGAACCGAAACTACGTCACGAAACCGTATCTGACAGCCTTAAGCAGAGATTTCTCGATGTGCTAGTGGATCACAACGGCGCTTCGAATAACAACCTAATCAGTATTGAATAAAGAGAAATGCTACTTGTTCTATAATCGAGCTACTCTGAATGTATTACACAACGTAGTAGCGCTTTATCATCTACAGATACGACTAGGACTATGCTTGAGAGGTATTTAACGGTCTGCGATCTAGACGACCGCCATGATGGATAGCTGACGAAACCAGATATTCCTCAATCATGCTAGACCATGAAACTCGAACACAAGATAATATAGAATTAAGCCGCTATCAATACTAAGAAGACTTAGTTAACAGTTGGCGATAGAACTTCAAATGGCAGCCATGGATTCCAAAGAAACGGACTAGTCTGATGCCTAGGAGTCTGAGATAGTTGCGGTGATCATGGAAAGAATGGGGTTCAGGGAAGCTCGACAAGGGGATTCAGGAAGTCAGAAGAGTTCAGTGAAGCATTTCAGGGAATCCAAAGGGTTTCAGAGCGGTTGACAGGGATCCACAAAAGTAAGAGAGGTGAGACCAGGGGAATGCAAGAGGATGTTCGAGGGCAAGGCAATTGTTTCCCTATCGCAGCTCTGGTGCAGGCCGCCGCAACGTCGGCGCACGGCCTCAGTTTCGTGAAACTGGGAAAACTGCTTTTCGCTTGCGGGATGATTGATTCGCGAGAGTTTTGACCGCTTTCGTGGGAAAGGTTACAGCATCTCCGAAGCGCGGGATTATCATGGTTGGGCTTGTTTGCGCGGGAAACAGCGCCACATGTCTGACAGACACCCATCCCCGTATACCACACCCACATTATCATACGGGACATTTGTCACTTACAGTAATAACATGTATACATTGCAAACCTTGTGCATTGTCATAGATCCAAGAGACTTTTGGTGGTGTAAAAAAGATGCTGCTGGTGAGACAACATTCTTATCCCTACCCAACACATTGTGGCTTATACTATTTGATTGCTTCTCATCCCACTGTGCTGCTGCTCGTACTTTTCAAGAGACATTTGTCATCTATGTTCCATTTTGGTGAGACGTGTGAGTTAGGACATGGTTAAAGGTCAAAACATTCTTATCCCTACCAAAGACATTCTGGCTTTTACTATTTGATTGCTTCTCATCTCATGATGGTGCTGCAGCTCGTACTTTCCAAACCTCCCAGCCAATCCCTTTCCAACCACCAGCAAGCAGCAATGCAGGTTATCTCGCTGACAGCAGCACCTGTAAGAGAGCTAGGCGGTCAGTAAGACAGCACCTGTACCATCTGTCATCCGTCCACCCAGCTGCTTCTCCACAGAGCTCCTGCATTTTCTACTCCACCCTTCTTCAACCCTGTGATTTGTACGCAAAATCATTGGCGCTTTCTCAAAACTAGCTCATTCCGTCATCCGTCTCCTCCCCACTGCATCTCTCCCCATGTCCTCCCCCCCTTCCTCCTCCTCGTCATCCCGCCATCTTCCAGATCTGATTTTTTGAACGACTCAAACCGCGCTCATTCAGTCATCCTTCTTCTCCCCCCTGCATCTCTCCCCCCGTCCGCCTCCCCCCCTTCCTCCTCCTCGTCATCCAGGTAGATATTTTCAGCCATCTGCCAGATCTGCAGGATATTATCCTCTGCCACGCTGGCAATCACCCAGTCATCATTGCCGTTCCACGAGAAATCAGATATTTTGCTCGTGTGGCCCCCGTGGATGAACAGTAGCTCGGGCGGCCCGTCCTCGGCATCGTCTGGCGCCTGTTGCTCGCCGATCCTGCCAGAAAAGTTCGGGAAGGGGGGGGAGAGGAGTGGGGGTGGGAGCGGGCGGGCGGGAGCGGGAGGGGGTGTTGTGGGAAATGGGTTGTGGGAGAATTAGCAGAATTAACATCTCTGCAAACCCTGCCATAAACCCTGACCTACGGACAATCTGCGGTTGAGGAGTTTACATATGAGCAGCTGGTTGAGCCGCCAGGTGAGTGGGCTGGCTGACTTGGAAAAAAAAAACAGCACAGGCTAAATGACGAAAGGATGGTCTCATTCTTCATAAGACAAAGAGAGAGAGAAAAAAAGGGAAACACCTGCTAAGGTCCCAGACCATGAGCCGCCTGTCAGCCCCACAGGAGGCTAGGATGGTCTCATTCTTCGGGCTCCACCCCACCTGAAACACCTCCTCCCTGCACTCGGTTCGGCAGGGGGATAAAGCAGGGGGAGAAGGCAGGGGGAGAAGGCAGGGGGAGAAGGCAGGGGGAGAAGGCATTGGGAAAAATAATGAGGCGCAGGCACGAAGGCAGGGGTGCCATGTTTTGTGCGAAGACCCGGAAAGCTTTCGGCTTTTTGTTCTTCTTTTCCCCACAGTTTATTATGCACAATGGCGGGCACAGCATATCAGACATAGGTACGTGGGACAAAATGACACCATGCATGCAAGTGTGTCTCCACTCACGTGTGTTGAACAAATGTGTGCAGGCGCCTAGAGAGGTTCCGAATGTCATGCAGAGCCACTGTCTTATCAGCCGAGCCTGTCACCAGCACCCACTCGTTGAACGGATTGAACGACAGACAGTTCACCTGGTGGGATAGGGTCACGTGCGAGGAATGAAGGGATGAGGAGAAGAGGGTTGGACGGAATAGGCAAAAGGGGGGGTGGAATGCGAAGCCACAGTCTTTGCAGCTGTCCCTGTCACCAGCACCCACTCGTTGAACGGATTGAACGACAGACGGTTCACCTGGTGGGATCGAGTCATGTGTGAATGGACGGGTTCACGTGAGCATATGTGGACGGGTTCATGCAAGAAGAATGGAGAGAGGAGAGAGGCGCTCGAACGGAATGAGGAGAGGAGGAGAAATCGATTGAAAGAGCAAAGGGGTTGAAGGACAGGCAGTCCACCTGATGGGGGCGATCGCGTGTTGGGAGAGGAGAGCTGAATTGATTGGGCATTTCGGGAGAGGAATGGGAACCATAGGCTTATCAGCGGTCCCTGTCACCAGCACAGCACCCACTCGTTGAACGGGTTGAAGGACAGGCAGTTCACCCGATGGGGGCAAGCGCATGTTGGGAACTGCATGGGCGGGTTTGTCAACAGCAGAGGAGCACAGGCCCCAGAGCAGCAGCTACTGGTGCGGTGTAATGTGGTGCGATGTGGTGCACGTCCCACGGCAGGATGCGCGGCAGCCGCGTGTGCGGGTCTATCGACAGCAGAGGAGCGCACGTCCCAGAGCAGCAGCTGCTGGTGAGGAGTGGTGTGGCGTGGTGTGGTGCGGCGTGGGGCCTTCACTTACCTCGGCAGGATGTGCGGTAACCGCGTGCGCGGGTTTGTCAACAGCGGAGGAGCGCAGGTCCCAGAGCAGCAGCTGCTGGTCGTCCCCCACGGACCCAAACAGGTACTCGTGCCGGCAGTGCCATGCCACGTCTTCAACAACCCCCGTGTGTGCCTGGGAGGAGGGGGGAGAGGGGGAGTTGTGGGTGGGGAAGGGGGGGGAGAGGGGGAGTTGTGGGTGGGGAGGGGGGGGGGGAGAGGGGGAGTTGTGCAAAAAAAGAGGGTGTGGAGGTTGAGGGCGCGGGCAACTGAGCTTTTGAGACGGCTAAAATCACGTCTGTGTGTGCTCGTGGGTTGGTGAGAGCACGTAGATGGGGAGGGGGAGCGCAGGTCCCAGAGCAGCAGCTGCTGGTCGTCCCCCACGGACCCAAACAGGTACTCGTGCCGGCAGTGCCACGCCACGTCCTCCACCACCCCCGTGTGTGCCTGGGTTGGTTGAGCAGCGGGAGAGAGAGGGAATGTGGATGGAGAGCAGGGGTGGGATGCGGGGAAGAACGGGCTTTCAGACTGTGCGAATCTCGTCTGTGTGTGCGTGGGGCTTGACAAGAGTGCGTGGGTGGGGAGGGAGGGGGAGCGCAGGTGCCAGAGCAGCAGCAGCAGAGCATCCACTTATGTTGGCTTTAATAGCAGCCCGATCAGCATGACATCTGATCCGCTCAGCAGGTGGCCCCCTCACAACCCCTCCCCACCCCTCCCAACCCACCCGAAACACGTGTTTCGCCTCCACCACTTTGTTCGCCTTAGTGGCCGCGCCGATGTCCCACACGCAGATCTGCATGTCGTCTGACCCGCTCAGCAGGTGCCCGGCTCGAAAGGGGCTCCAGGACAGCCCGTACCCCTCCGTCTTGTGGCCCCTCAGGCGCAGGTCGGGGTTGCATGTGCCCTCCTGCGGGGGTTTTGATGGGTGCCGGCTGTAATCGAACACGAATACCTGTGGGCCGGGGCCAGGGGAGGGGAGGCGGAGCAAGAGAGCAGAGGGTGGGTAGGTGGGCGCGGAAGGGACTCCAGGACGGCCCCTACCCCTCCGTCTTGTGGCCTCTCAGGCGCAGGTCGAGGTTGCATGCTCCCTCTAGGGGAGGAGTTGACTTTTGAGTCGACTCAAAAGGTTGCATGTTCCCTCTAGGGGAGGCTTGGAGGGGTGTCTGCTGTAGTCGAATACAAATACCTGTGGGGTGGGGTGTGGGGGATGAGTCGAACAGGGGAAGCGGAGGAGGAAATATGCGCTGAAAATTTGCACCTGTGGCGCAAAAGGGGCTCCAGGACAGCCCGTACCCGTCTGTCTTGTGGCCCCTCTGGCGCAGGTCCGGGTTGCATGTGCCCTCTTGAGGGGGCTTTGAGGGGTGTCTGCTGTAGTCGAATACAAATACCTGTGGGGTGGGGTGTGGGGGATGAGTCGAACAGGGTTGCATGTGCCCTCTTGAGGGGGCTTTGACGGGTGTCTGCTGTAGTCGAATACAAATACCTGTGGATGTGGAGCGGGGGCAGGGGAGGCGGAGGGAGGGAAGGTAGCAGAGGGTTGGTAAGAGAACGCGGAAGGGGCTTCAGGACAGCCCGTACCCCTCCGCCTTGTGACTCCTCAGGCGCAGATCCGGATCGCACGTGCCCTCCTGTGGGCCGGGGCCAGGGGAGGGAGGGAAGGCAGCAGAGGAGGCGGTGCAGGGGAGGCGGAACAAGGGTAATCTAACTAGAACGAACACGTATGGCAGGGGGGTTTGGGCACACTGGGAGCACAATGGGCCTTAATAATGCCATCTCACCTCAGCAGAGACGGTCTTGGAGCCACCAAGACGGGATCGGTCTTGATTCATCTCACCTCAGCAGAGACTGTCTTGGTGGTGATAGGTTCTCTGGCATGTAGCGCGCCATAAAAAGGCTGTTATTACACAGCTGTACCCGTTTAAAGAAAGCTCGAAACAAGCAAGAGGGAGCACACCTCAGCAGAGACGGTCTTGGTGGCGATAAGGAAGGGGTTCTGCGGCATGTAGTGCTCCCTGGGTAGGCCAATACTACACCGCTGTACCCGTTTTAAGGATGCTCGAAACCAGCCAAAGAGTGCTCACCTCGGCAGAGACGGTCTTGGTGGCGATGAGGAAGGGGTTCTGCGGCATGTAGCGCGCTCGGTTCACCTCGCCCTCGTGGTTGATCTGCTGCACCACTTGCACCTGAGAGAGTGAGCGCGCGTGAGGGAATGCCGGGTGGGGCAGAAGTGGGGGGGGGGGGGGGGGGGGAGTGGGCATGTAGCGCGCTCGGTTCACCTCGCCCTCGTGGTTGATCTGCTGCACCACTTGCACCTGAGAGAGTGAGCGCGCGTGAGGGAATGCCGGGTGGGGCAGAAGTGGGGGGGGGGGGGGGGGAGTGGGCATGTAGCGCGCTCTGTTCACCTCGCCCTCGTGGTTGATCTGCTGCACCACTTGCACCTGCGGTGGTGTGAGAATGAGTGTGAGGGGCGGAGGAGAAGGGGCGGGAAGGAAGGGAGGGAAAAAAGAGGGGTTGGGGGTGCAATGGCTAGCAAATAGAAGCACAAAACGTAGGCCCCTGTAAGGATACAGACGAGCTCCCCACCTTAGCGCACCCGGCGCTGAATCCTCCATCTTACCACCCCTCCCCACTTTGCCCCACTCCCCCTCACGGATCTTGACACACCCCCACGCGCAAAACTCCACACCCCTCCCCCTCCTCCTCCCCACCTTGGCGCACCCAGCACCGAACCCGCCAACGTCGCTCCTCTGCTCGCCGTACTGCCGCGCGTCCGTCTCTGAGTCGTCCAGAGGCAGTCGCACGTCCACGGGCATGAGGTAGTTCTGCTCGTTTGCCCCCCCTGCCCCTCCTACCCGTCTCCCCACGCACCCTTCCCCCCTTCCCACCTTGGCGCTCCCAGCACCGAACCCGCCAATGTCGCTCCTCTGCTCGTCGTACTGCTGGGCGTCCGTCTCTGTGTCGTCCAGAGGCAGTTGCACGTCCACGAGCATGAGGTAGTTCTGCTCGTCGTACTGCCGGGCGTCCGTCTCTGTGTCGTCCAGAGGCAACTGCACGTCCGCCCTCTCCCATCCCCCACCTCCCCCCTCCCACTACATCCCCTTCCCCCCCTTCCCACCTTGGCGCACCCAGCACCGAATTCCCCCCACGTCACTGCGCTGCTCATCATACTGCCGCGCGTCCGTCTCCGAGTCATCCAGAGGCAGCTGCACGTCCACGAGCATGAGGTAGTTCTGCTCGTTTGCCCCCCTTTTTCACCCCATTTGCCCCTCCTCCCCGTCTCCCCACTCCGATCTTGCCACACCCATTCCCTCCCCTCCCCCCCCCAACCCACCCAACCCCACCCCCTTCCCCCTCCTACCTTGGCGCACCCAGCACCAAATCCCCCAACGTCACTGCGCTGCTCATCATACTGGCGCGCGTCCGTCTCGGTGTCGTCCAGGGGCAGCTGCACGTCCACGAGCATGAGGTAGTTCTGCTCGTTGTCCGACGTGTGCGTTCCCAGCACCATCCGTTGCACCGAGTAATCCTTCCCTGCTGGTTCCTGCCGTTCTGTGTGGGGGAGGGGTCGGGGCGAGAGAGAGAATGGATTGGAGCAGAGAGTGGTTTTGAGTCATCGAGAGGCAGTTGCACGTCCACGAGCATGAGGTAGTTCTGCTCGTTGTCCGACGTGTGCGTTCCCAGCACCATCCGTTGCACCGAATAGTCCTTCCCTGCCGGCTCTTGTCGCTCTGTGTAAGAAGCGGGACAGGGGCGGAGAGGGGCGGAGAGGGGCGGGGAGGGGTGGGGAGAGGTGAGGCAGAGTGAGGCAGCTGCACGTCCACGAGCATGAGGTAGTTCTGCTCGTTGTCCGACGTGTGCGTTCCCAGCACCATGCGCTGCACTGAATAATCCTTTCCCGCTGACTCTTGCCGCTCTGTGTAAGAAGCAGCACAGGGGAGGAGAGGGGCGGGGAGGGGCGGGGAGAGGGTTGAGGAGGGGGTGAGTAAGGGTGAGGCAGTTGCACGTCGACGAGCATGAGGTAGTTCTGCTCGTTGTCCGACGTGCGCGTACCCAGCACCATCCGTTGCACAGAGTAATCCTTTCCCGCTGGCTCCTGCCGCTCTGCAAGGGGAGCGAGGGGAATGGGGTAGTACGGAAACGCGGGAAAAGACTGTTTCAAGTCATGTCATGTCCCGTAGTTTGCAGCGCGTTGCTGAGAGATCGGAAGGGGGCGGTGGGGAATGGCGGAGAACGGAGGCCGCGGGAGTACGGAGGCCGACCAAGACCGGACGTCAACGCACGTGGTATCATCTGGGTGACACACGTGGCATCCAGTGCACAATGAGAGACGATCAATCGAGCGCGAATGGAGGGGGGAACACGTGGCATTATCTGGCCGAGACACCATCACACCTGGCATCCATTGCACGGTGAGCGACGGCCATTCGAGCGCGTGCGTGATGACGAGGTCGTAGAGGAACGGCGTGTTCTTCTTCCAGATGACACGTGGCAGGCTGTAAACATCACACGTGGCATCCATATCCCACCTGGCATCCATTGCACGGTGAGCGACGGCCATTCGAGCGCGTGCGTGATGACGAGGTCGTAGAGGAACGGCGTGTTCTTCTTCCAGATCTTATACTCCTCGTTTATCACCCGCTCCTCCCCCTCGTCCGGATACTCCTCCTCCTCCCGCGCCATTCCGCCCGCTCTCAGAACCTAAAAGTGTCTCTTAGTTCCGTTTTTCCTAAAAGGAAGTCTGAGAACGAAACTTGAATTCCCTAGAACTCGAAGATCCTACTTCGCTTCCGATTGATGGATGAATGCCGCTAACAGCGATCGCGAGAGCGGGAAAAGGGTTGACGGAGAGAGGACCTGGTTGAATCAAGAGAAGTCTCTCTGTCGATCGGAATAACACGCTCTGATTTAGTCGTGGGTGGAGGCGATAAAGCGGGTCTGAATGGCGAGTCAACAGCGAGGCCAGGGAGCCTCCGAAAGGCAAACGTTAAGAACTAACGACAGGGGTGTGGAAAGACGAGGGAATGGAAAGGCGACGAGTTGGAATAGTAGGAATGAGGAGGGAAAGATGACTGAATTGAAGTGACTCGAGGAAGTGAAGGCTCGATGTCGCCTTCGGTTTATTTGCGGGGTAGAACCAGCGTCAGCGCTGGCGTTTGGGATTCAAACGTTGCCGCGCAAATTCATATGTTTGACATAAAAGCGATATACATGAATTTACTAGACTTGGCATCGGCCCATTAGCTCAGTTGGTTAGAGCGTCGTGCTAATAACGCGAAGGTCACAGGTTCGAAACCTGTATGGGCCAGTGAGGTTATTCCAGCCCCTGCTTGTGAAGGGACGTGATCCTCCGACGGACGGATCATCTCTTTCTTTAGGGGGTGTCCAGCTCGTTCATTTTGGAAATTTAGCACCGCCTCACGATCCGGGGTTCAAAACTAATCACTGTACCTAAAAACGAATTCGCCCTGCGTCGAGTCCACCCTTTTTGTCAATTCTAGCGCGCGGACAAGTTCCCCCCAAACAGACTTCAACAGTGCAGGGGCCGTGTGGAAACCGAGATACCGGTTTTCTCGTCAATCCAAGCGTTGGAATTTTCGCCAAGCCAACTTTTCCTCTACTGGTTTTGGCGATTGTCAGGCGGCACAGGCGAAATTGAGCGCGCGATACAATAGGCACTGACTGTAGTGGGCAGGACGCGGCTCTGTACCATTGTTCGATGAGCACACTGATTCTTGTGGCGTGCGTCACACGATTCGAGGTACGTGCAGGGGGTGTGCCGTATCTTGAACGGAGCCGATCGTGTCTGGCATTTTTGTAAAAATCTGTGTTACAAGGCAAAATGTGGTAACTGAAGACTTTAGAAACAGTAAATGAACGAGCTGGACACCCCCTTACACCAGTTAGCTGGTTCAAGAAACGTCCCAAGACTGCAACTAACAATTCCAAGGTTTTCTCAATCCCGAAAATTCACGTCAGTCCCTCTCTTTCAGGTGAACCGTCCCCTCCGTACACGTCCTGATTCGTCTCTCCTTGCTCAACTGCTTCCCATCAGCGTGTTGCGTTGTGTTCCCGCACAGTAGTAGTTGCTCTATTCGAGCAACCATCAGACCTAAATTTTATCTTATTGCTCATTGCCGACGCATTATTCTGAACAGCCGTTAGTGTTACTACTTCATTCACCTACTTTGCTGACCAACGCCTTTTCTTTTTCATTCTGTGCGCGTACGCATCGGGTGAGTGCCTAGCCATTGTTATCTAACCTGAACATTAGTAGGCATTGTAGAGAAGCAAACAGTTACACACGAAGGCCGCGCATTTAGCCTCTAAGGCGGTGTCAGGAAGACCGCGTAGTTTAAGACATGTCGGCGTCGGGAACGCCGCCGCGGCGCATCGTGGTTGCGATCGACGACTCGACGGGCAGCACCGAGGCGCTCCAATGGGCACTCGATAACATGCAGCTGCAACCCGGTTCGTGCCAGGGGGGTGGGTGTCAGGCGGGTGGGTGTCAGGCGAATGGGTGTTGGGCGAATGTTGGTCAGGGGAACGCAGTTCAGGGGAATGGGGGTCAGGGGAATGTGGGGTTCAAACGCGTGGGCGTCAGATGCTGTCATTCCGTTCTTTCTACGTTTCGAGGTCGCTCTGTTCTGTTTCGTCCCCCTCCACCGTCCGAGCGACCTCCTCATTTCGCTCCTACCCTCCACTCCACCCATCCTTCCTGCTTCCACCTGCCCTCATGTCTGTTCGCTCCTCCTCGCTGACTTTTGAGGCGCCTCAAAAGTCGCTCCTACTCCACTTCCCCCTTCCTTAGCAGCTGAAAACAATTTTCCTCCTCTGCTGCGAGTGATGTTTGAGAATTCTCACGAGTGATGTTTGAGAATTCTCACGAGTGATGTTTGCGAATTCTCACGAGTGATGTTTGCGAATTCTCACGAGAGATGTTTGAGAATTCTCACGAGTGATGTTTGAGAATTCTCACGAGTGATGTTTGAGAATTCTCACGAGTGATGTTTGAGAATTCTCACGAGTGATGTTTGAGAATTCTCACGAGTGATGTTTGAGAATTCTCACGAGTGATGTTTGAGAATTCTCACGAGTGATGTTTGAGAATTCTCACGAGTGATGTTTGAGAATTCTCACGAGTGATGTTTGAGAATTCTCACGAGTGATGTTTGAGAATTCTCACGAGTGATGTTTGAGAATTCTCACGAGTGATGTTTGAGAATTCTCACAAGTGATGTTTGAGAATTCTCACAAGTGATGTTTGAGAATTCTCACGAGTGATGTTTGAGAATTCTCACGAGTGATGTTTGAGAATTCTCAAAACTCGCTCGCAATTTTCCTCCTCTGCTGCTGCTGCCCGCCCTCCCCCTTGTGCAGGTCGCGACACCATCGTTCTCGTCAACACCCAATCCTACTCAGCAGCCCCTACTTCCCGGCCAGGTAAGACAATACTTCTCGGCCAGGTAAGACAATACTTCCTGGCCAGGTAAGACAATACTTCCCGGCCAGGTAAGACAATACTTCACTCTCCTCCCTTCCCACAATCTCTCCCTTCCCTTGTTTCTCTGCCTGACAGCTGAGCCCTTCTTCTCTTTCCCACCTTGCTGCCCGTTCCCCCTTTTTTCCCCACACCAATCACAGGCTTCCACGTGTCCCAGGGGGAGATCCAGGCGGACACGCAGAGGAAGAAGGACGTCGGGTACAAGCTGCTGGAGAAGTACAAGGCGCAGTGCGAGGCGCGGCAGGTGAGGGAAAGATAACACCCATGTGAGGAGCGGCTATGCGTGAGGGCGCGAGGTCAGGGCGCGAGGTCAGGGCGCGAGGTCAGGGCGCGAGGTCAGGGCGCGAGGTCAGGGCGCGAGGTCAGGGCGCGAGGTCAGGGCGCGAGGTCAGGGCGCGAGGTCAGGGCGCGAGGTCAGGGCGCGAGGTCAGGGCGCGAGGTCAGGGCGCGAGGTCAGGGCGCGAGGTCAGGGCGCGAGGTCAGGGCGCGAGGTCAGGGCGCGAGGTCAGGGCGCGAGGTCAGGGCGCGAGGTCAGGGCGCGAGGTCAGGGCGCGAGGTCAGGGCGCGAGGTCAGGGCGCGAGGTCAGGGCGCGAGGTCAGGGCGCGAGGTCAGGGCGTGAGGTAAGGGCGTGAGGTAAGGGCGTGAGGTAAGGGCGTGAGGTAAGGGCGTGAGGTAAGGGCGTGAGGTAAGGGCGTGAGGTAAGGGCGTGAGGTAAGGGCGTGAGGTAAGGGCGTGAGGAAGCCGGATACAACAAGCTGCTGGAGAAGTACAAGGCGCAGTGTGAGGCGCGCCATGTGAGGAGAGGTTTGCTGGGAGTTGACTTTTGAGTCAACTCAAAAGTCAACGTGCAAGGTAAGGAGAGGTGTGTAGGGAGCGAATAGTGAGCTGCTGGTGTAATTTGTAAACGATCAGCACTCGGATGCATGCTCAGGATGCATGCTTAGCTCTTGAGTCGACTCAAAATGACTTTTGAGTCGACTCAAGAGGTTTACTGGGAGGGAGCAGTGAGCTGCTGATGTAATTTGTAAATGATGAGCACACGGATGCATGCTTAACCCTTCTGCACACGGATGCATGCTTAACCCTTCTGCACACGGATGCATGCTTAACCCTTCTGCTCCCTTTTTTTCAATGCATTCTCCCCCAACCCCTGCCTCCTCTTCTGTGCTGACGTGGCAGCTGCTGTGCGAGACGCGTGTCATGATCGGCGATGCCAGGCTGTCGATATCCGAGGCAGCGGAGCAGGCCAAGGCGGATGCCGTGGTGGTGGGGAGCCGTGGGCATGGGGCTCTTAAGAGGTGAGGGCACTGTGGGGACAGGTATTCTCAAGTCGTGTGTGCTTGACCGGCAGCGTAGCAGGCCAAGGCAGATGCAGTGGCTCTGGGGAGCAGGGGACACGGCGCTCTCAAAAGGTGGGCGCTGTGGGGAACAGGGGGCGCGGTGCGCTCAAGAGGTGTGCACTTGAGGACAGGACAGGACAGGACAGGACAGGACAGGACAGGACAGGACAGGACAGGACAGGACAGGACAGGACAGGACAGGACAGGACAGGACAGGACAGGACAGGACAGGACAGGACAGGACAGGACAGGACAGGACAGGACAGGACAGGACAGGACAGGACAGGACAGGACAGGACAGGACAGGACAGGACAGGACAGGACAGGACAGGACAGGACAGGACAGGACAGGACAGGACAGGTGTGCTAAAGGTGTGCGCGCTTTACAGGCAGCGGAGCAGGCCAAGGCAGACGCGGTGGTGGTGGGGAGCCATGGGCATGGCTCTCTAAAGAGGTGCGAGCATTTTGGGGACAGGTATTCTCAAGTTGTGTGTGCTTTACAGACAGCGGAGCAGGCCAAGGCGGGCGCCGTGGTGGTGGGGAGCTGTGGGCAGGGCGCGCTTAAGAGGAGGTGCATACAGGGGGGCAGGACAGGTGTGGTAAAGATGTGTGTGCTTGACAAGCAGCGGAGCAGGCCAAGGCAGATGCGGTGGTGGAGGGGAGCAGTGGGCATGGCTCTCTAAAGAGGCGGGTTGAAGGGGGCATGGCTCTCTAAAGAGGTGTTTTGAAGGGGGCATGGTGACTGGGTGCGTGGGGGAGCATGGGGCTCTCAAGGGGTGCGTTGGAGCTGGCATGGCAATCTCACAGAGTTTGCCATTTAGAATGGCTGTACTCACTCACACGCATGCAGCAGCAGGCATTGCTTGGGTTTTGAGTCGACTCAAAACACGTCTGCCGTTTAGAATGGCTGTACTCACTCACACGCATGCAGCAGCAGGCATTGCTTGGGTTTTGAGTCGACTCAAAACACGTCTGCCGTTTAGAATGGCTGTACTCACTCACACACATGCAGCAGCAGGCATTGCTTGGGTTTTGAGTCGACTCAAAACACGTCTGCCGTTTAGAATGGCTATGCTCACTCCAACACATGCTGCAGCAGCAGGCATCGCTCGGTGCACAGTGTGAGTGAGTGCTGTGCGCGCGCACCACCACTCTGCCTCGTGCTGTGTGCTTCTCTACCCATGCACACCGCTCTCCACTCCCCATTTTCCCCTTAACTCCCTCCACCCAACCTGCAGGCAGGCGGGTGATGGGAAGTGTGAGTGAGTGCTGTCCGCACCACTGCCCCATGCCGTATGCTGCTCAACTTGCTAACCCCCCTCTCTCCTCTTGTACCTCCCACCTCAAACCACCTCTCTTCCCATGCGCCAACTCCCTCCCTCCCTCCATCGAACCTGCAGGCTGGTGCTGGGCAGTGTGAGTGAGTACTGTGCGCACCACTGCCCCATGCCGGTGGTCATAGTGCGACCCAACAAGATAGGCCAGCCCGACCCTGCCGTGCCCATGGACTGACTGGACAGCCTCTTATCAACCGGTGCTTATCGATCCAAAAACCCACAAATTGATGGTTTTTCTCAAAAACTCGCAAGATATCAGTACTTGTACTGTTCCTGTCGACTGAGTTGTTTGGGTGCTGGAATTTACTGATTCAAGATTTCTCACGCATGCGTTTGATTGGACAGACGGCCTGACCCTCCTGAGCCTAGTAATCTGCCGCTTCCTGATTTGTATGTGTGGGTACATTCTTGGCTGGAGTCTAGCTTCAGGTCAAGTTTGCCTGCCTGGTGTCAGACCCCTCCAGGAAACGTCTGACACATGTTGAAAATATTTCTCATGCCCGTCAATTTCACCTCGTGTCAACCAGCTCGGCCCAAAGCTAGACACCAGCCAAGAACGCACTGAAGTACCCTAGGATTGGCTAAACCATGAGTACTTGTTCTGCTGCCAACCTTACCATAACAGTTCTACAAAAACACCCATCAACCAACAGTCTAATGGCCTAAAAATGATGTCAGAGTTTCCATATAATGTCATATGCAACATAGACTGGAATTGCAGCACTCTAGTGTAGGTACCATTCCAGCCACCCCTCAGCCGCTTCATCCAGTAGGTAAATCCCTACACACTACACGAGTGCCTCCTGCTCGCTGTGAAATATATCTTAGTCAACTAAAAAAATCACTGCAGGTAAGGTCCAGCTCTCTCCAAGCCACTTAGACAGCTGCTTCATTCCCTCACCTGTTTCAATCCCTGCGTGTGCGCCGCCTCACCTTGGTCTCACCCCCCTCCTTCGCCTCTTCCTCCACACCCGCAGGCTGGGGTTCCGAAGCTGCAGGCTCGGCGGGCTCCTCTGCTTTAGCAGGCTCAGTGGGGCCCTCGTTAGGCTGATCTGCTGCAACAGCCTCAGCCTCTTCCTTGGCCACCTCCTTTGGCTCCTCTTTGCTCTCCTCTGGAGCATCATCAGGTGTGGTAATGTCCTCCTTCTTGGCCCTCTCTACTGAGACCTACTCGGAACAAGCACAGCAGGTAACAAGGAAGAGACAACCAGGAAAACAAGCAGAGACAAGGGACACCTTAGGATGCTCAACCTCTGACACCATGAGAATGGCACAACACAACCCATGCGCTCGCTCACCTGCACCCATGCACAAGTCCTGAGCGATTTCTGGGGTGCCTCAAAAACCGCTCACCCTCGACCCATGTGCTAGCCCTGAGCTCACTTCACCTCATACGCAACACAAGCCCTGCTCCTCCCATGCCCCCAACACCCGACACCTGTGTCCGACCTCTCGTCTCCTCCCATACCCCAACCCTCAACACCTAGGTCCCACTTCCTCCCATAGCCCTCTAGTTCTGTGCTCACCTGCCCTGCCGGCCGCTTAGGTGAGGAGAGCAGCACAGAGACGAGCAGCAGGAAGGGCACGAGTGGGATGAGGCTGATGACGCCCACTGCTGCGTACGGGTACTTGACTGCCTCTGCTAGGATGGCCTGGGGAGCGAGGAGACAAGAGGGGGGAAAGTGGGAAGAAAAAGGAGGCGCGTTTTTGGGAACAGGAAACAACAGAAATGAGACAGCGAGAGGAGAGAGGGGGGGGTGACGGGATGAGCGAGAGGGAGGGTGAAGAAGTGGGGAAGAGGGAGGGTGAAGGGGCGGGAGCGAGAGAGGGTGATGGGGGGGAGAGGGGGAGGGTGAAGGGTAAGAGAGAGGGAGAGTGAACGACGGGAGAGAGAGAAAGGGGTGGAGAGGGTTGGAGAGGGGTTGGAAGAGGAAGTGATGGAGCAGGGGGGGAGGGGGTAGCAAGCAGCGCACCTTGAGCTGCGGGCGAACAGGCTTGAGAGGAGGCGCGTCTGCAATCTTGTGGAGCGTCTCAAACAGCTTGCCCTGTTGTGGGGAAGACACAGGGGGTTGCAGTGGGGTTGAGAGGGTTGCAGTGGAGGTGAGGATGTTGCAGTGCGGTTCAGAGGGATGCAGTGGTGAAGAGGGGGATTTGAGGTACCTCCTCGTGGAGAATTGCCAACAGCTTGCTCTACCATTGACCACGAGACCCTGGTTGGTCTCACTCACATCCCGCCAGCCTCACATCCCGCCAGCCTCACATCCCGCCAGCCTCACATCCCGCCAGCCTCTCAGGACACACCCGCCTCCCACCCGCCTTTCCCATCCCTCAGCTGGTCTCAAACCACGCACTCACCTCCCATCCGCCCTTGCCAGCAGACTCCTTCCTGAGCTTAGCGTCCTCCTCTTGCAACTCGCCTGCTCTTCCCATACAATCCCCACCCATAGCACATCTATCCCCCGGCCAAATACAACCCGTCTCCAACTCACCTCCCATCCGCCCTTGCCAGCGGACTCCTTCTTGAGCTTAGCATCCTCCTCCTCGCGCTTCTTCTGCTCCGCCTCCTTCTCCTTGGCGAACTTGGTCGCCCATCGCTCCCTCCGGTACTTCTCTGCTACAGCGGGGTCGCTTGTAACGAGGATGTTGTCAAAGAGAATGCCGTCCTGGTGTGGTTGGATGGGGGGAGGGATGGGTTGGCATGGGTAGGGTTGCATAAACGTGGATGGGTGGATCGGCAGGTGGGTGGTGATGGTTAAATGGGTGGATATGGATGGGTGGGTGAATGGGTGGGGTTGGGTGGATGGGTGGATGGGCGGGAGGGTGAGTGGATGGCGGTAGAGGACGGTCGAGGGGCTGCAGAGGGCGGTGAAGGAGCGGGACAGGGCGATCGGGGGGATCGAGGGGCTGCAACTGCTCCTGCTCCTCCACCGTGTGCTGCAGCCCTTCGAGACCCTCGGCCGTCCTGTCCCGCTCCTCCACCGTGCGCTGCAACCCCTAGACCGTCCTCAGTGGATGGGTGGGTAGGTGGGTCAATAGGTGGACGTGGATGGTTGGATGGGCGGGTTTGGGGACGAGTTACCTGTTGGATCCAGGTCGAAAATGTCTCCGTATGCTACAAGAGTTGGACCCAAGTGCAAACGCGTCTGTTGTCCAACTAGAAAGCAATCTCCCCGTGATGGACAGAGGAGGAAAGGAGGTGGGGGGAGCATCTACAGATGGAAAACTTGCACCCTTTTGAGTCGACTCAAAAGTCACCTCATGGACACGGGAGGAAAGGAGGTGGGGGAGGATTCTCCAGATAGACAACTGCTATGTTTGCACCCTTCCCAGCAACACTCTCGTCTTGTGCAATGACATGACCTCGTTCTTTCATGTCCTTTCGCTTGCAGCCAATGCACTTGTGTGCATTGCCCTTTCTACACTACGCCCTGTTTCTTATGTCCCACTCCCAGCTGCTCGTCCACCAACCACCTCTCGTCCACCAACCACCTCTCGTCCTACCCAGAAACCCCGAACCCTGAGCCCCCTCTCACACACCTATCTCCATCTCCCCCAGCACATCCCCGCGCCCAGGCACTCACGACATGGTCCAGATCTCAATTTCCACAGCAGCGACGCTCTCCAGGTCCGGCCGATCCAGATGGAAGTAGTCCGGGTTCGGGATGTCCCAAGCCTTCCACTTGCCCTTGTACGCGGGGTTGTCAATCAGCGGAGCCGTCCACTTGCCCTTGTACGCGGGGTTGCGCTTCATCGGCCACTTCCACTCCCATCTACTCCTAACCCACCACATCCCCTCATCCCACCCAAGAGCCCTGAACGCTAACCTCCCCACTCACCTACATCCACCCCCCTCACTCCCCCCAACCCCCTCGCCCTGGCACGCACCGACATGGTCCAGATTTCAATTCCCACGGCAGCGACGCTCTCGAGGTCCGGCCGGTCCAGGTGGAAGTAGTCCGGATTCGGGATGTCCCGAGCCTTCCACGCGCCCTTGTACGCGGGGTTGTCGATGAGCGGAGCCGTCCACTTGCCCTTGTACGCGGGGTTGCGCTTCATTGGCCGCTTCCACTCGCCGCACCCGGGTGCCTCCTCGCACTTGGGGTTCGGGGTTTTGGGCGGCTCCCACTCGCCGTCCTCCTCCTCGTCCCAGTCCTCGGGCTTCTTCGCCTCGGGATCGTCCACCTGATGAATCGAGGAAGGAGGAGGTACAAGAGGTGGTTGGGGGAGGCAATGGTATGGTATCGGGCGTCGTAACCTGTTCATCCTTACAAAATATATATTATGGGTACTGGTGAGGGGGTGGCGATAGGACTGGGCATTGGCATCTGATCCTGGAATTCAGGCGGAAAGGAGGATTCCAATGGAAGTGGTGGGGGGAAAACGATAGAATTGGGCAGAGTCACCTCCGGGGGCAAAGCCATTCAGCCACCAGGCGCGAGTGGCTTCCATGTGCTCTCTTGACAATCGAATCAAGGGGAAGACTAATGCGTTACTCTTTTGACAATTGATCAGCCACCCCTTGGACATAACAAGCCCGTTAAACTAGTTCCGACCGAACAACCAATTGCCTTGTTTGACACATCCCCCTACTCAAATTGTCGAACTTTTTGTCCAGCCAATCCTAAGGCTTGCCAAGCAGCTCCTACAAACCAGCATTCCGCCACAAACCCACCAGAGGAAACCCAATCATCCCCCACTCATGTCCTCGTCGTCTAGCCACCTCTGACGCTTGCCACACAGATCTTATGACACAGCATTCCGCCACACGCCTACCCGGACCCCAATCAGCATCCCCACGCACCTCCTCGGGTTCGTCATCCAGCCACCCCTCGGGCTTAGCGGCATCCTCGTCGGGGATCTCGCGGGGAGCGTCCTCGTCCCAGTCGTCCGGCTTGGTCGCCTCGGGGTCCTTGATCTTGGCGCGCTCGTCCCTGCAGGCACGCACACCACGCGTCGCAGGAATGGCGCGCGCAAATCGTTCTGTGAGTGCAAGTGAAATTCCGCTTGTTTATTAAGAATTCGCGTACAATTGAACAGACATTTTCGCGCGCGTGGTGTTGAGTAGCTGCAAGTGGAAATTCGCTTCTTCATGTGGAAACTGTACGGATTCGCAGACACTTTGCACGCGTGCGAGCGCATCCGAGCGGCACAAAAAGTTTGGTCGACACAGACTACGAGGATTCGTAGAATTCAAGGAGAACACAAAGTTCCGTGTACTCAGTTCGTTGGATGCAAGCCTAAGACTCACCAGCCCTCAGCCTCAACTCACCAGCCCTCAGCCTCAACTCACCAGCCCTCAGGCTCAACTCACCAGCCCTCAGGCTCAACTCACCAGCCCTCAGCCTCAACTCACCAGCCCTCAGCCTCAACTCACCAGCCCTCAGCCTCAACTCACCAGTCATCGGGCTTCTTATCCTCGGGATCCGGAATCGTCTTCGGCGGCAGCACGGGCGGCTGGAAATCCTTCCCGGAGAGCAGATCGCCCTCCGCCTTCTTCTCCCCGTCGATAAGAATCTCCACCGTGTTGTTCGGGTACACGATTGCCGTGTACACGTGGCTGAGCTTGTCGAATGTGTAGGGCGACGCGGGCTTCTTCATGTGGTGCTCCACGTACTCGCCCGTCTTGGGCGACTTGTGGCGGAAAATAAAGTGCACTTTATTCGTCGAGCCGCACTTGTCGGGTCCGAACATGATTGAGTAAGGCGAGTCGTCCTTGAATTGGCTCGGAGTCCAGCCCGCGGTCTGATTGGTCTCAGGGGGAGGACAGATTGGGAAGACACAAGCACGGTGGAGCAAGGAGGCAGGATGGATGAAATAAGAGGGTCAGAATATAACATACAAGAGCACAGAGAGTTGTCGCAATCAGGTCGAACGGCAAAAACAAAACATTTTCAGGTAAAACTCCATTTATGCCTACAGATTTATCTCAATTTCAGTACCTGCGGCATGAGGAACTTGAGATACGCTCCGCCACACTCGAGGTTGTTCTGCAGGCGCACGTCGTACTGCAGCACCAGGGTGTCCTTCTTCGGATCCACGGGCTCAGGGAGCTCCGCTGCGATGCCGTACTTCTTCGCCTTCTCGGTTACCAGCAGCCCGTAATCGCCCGAAGCTTCGCCGGCAGCCCATTTCCATTTGCCTGAGCAAGAAAATAATGGAAACATGAATCCTCAGGTTGTTCTGGATAAACATTGAATGAGCAAATACGGTTCATGGGTGCATTAGAAATTTAGTCACATGAACTGCAGCAAATCGAGGCGGAAAATCTAAGACTTACCCGTGTAGTCTACGCTGCTAGAAACGACCCAGCGACCAGCGTAATCCTCGTCAAACGTCTCAAAGAATTCCACCTGCATGGATCGAGATGGGAGAGAGGAGTACGGACATTTGGCGTCCAGAATCGAATGGTACTAAATGCGGTAAAGACAATTTGTCCGCAAGATCTACCCGCCAACACACCAGACAGCCGAGGAGTATTTTCAACTTACGGCAAGGCAAGACTGGGTGGTGATGAGGACGAGCGCTAGGAGCGCAAGAACCGTCGACCGTGCCATGATCTACGATCCCTGGTCCAGATCGAGAGACAAAAAGCACGGAGAAGCTGAGTCTATCTGGCTGCTTTCAGGCTCCTTCACTTTAACAAGCCGCCGTCCTGCACTATGCTTGGCTGGATGCTGCAACTTCACCACTGATCTACTTGGTGCTGGAGGTAAGAGCTTGCCTTTCTGTAACTAGGCTATCCTGCTACGGAAGCCTTGGGATGATGAGGATTCAGCAGGTGTCGAATTCTGAAAAAATCCTGTAAGAGGTGTGTGTGACCAACCAGCCGAACGGATTCTTCCAGAAGCTAGGACCGATTGATGGACCTCCGCCCTTCGATCAACGTGGTGAAAGCATCTTCCTGAAGAATCGACGGTTCTATCGAAGCATATCAGACACTACAAACGTGAAGCACTGCACAAGTTTTCTAGTGGAGCTCAGTGATTGGTTGATGGGTCGAAATTTGAACCTCATTGGACAGCGAGACGTGGCTTCTCTCTACCCGAAATGCCCAGTCACTGCAGCTGTTACATCCTACCAGCACGGGGAACGACAACATACAGTCTATAGGGAACAAAATATGTTACATTCAACATACAATCAAAATATGTTGCCCAACTTTAGCTGTCATCCCATAGTATATTGGATCAGGTCCTCTCATTTAAATACAACAGAGGGAGTCCAGCTCGTACCACTTGTAGATCACAATCTGAACCCCGCGCGCTTAGGGCGAGTTCAGCGCTTTCGTCTACAGCCCATTCCATTCGTCGCGGCGTAAGAGTGCACGCACAAGAGTAACCATACAGAATGCACTGACCAAACCGTTCGGGTACCATACAAGTAGTATCCACTCCTCTGTATGATTGTTTGGATACAAAATGCATATTACTGCTGATACGATACAATATTAGCACCACCCAGGGCTGCATCTTTGGGTTGGGGTAAGTATGTTATGGAATGTACTCTTGACTCCAGCTCAGTATTCCTTAGTTTTGTTCAGTTTCAACACTTTTCCAGTGAGACAAACTACATGTGGGCATCACCACACCACACCTTGACCCTAATTACTCTTCTTCATAAACCCTGTTCCATGGACCACTGACCATCCCACTTCAATTCCACCCAGAAAATGGGAGGACACAAGAGTGGCCCACGCCCTGACCACGACTTCACTGGACACAGGCCAGAACGAAAACATGACTAAGAATGTGCGGAGCTATACGCGACTACGCTAACGTCTAAGACACCTTCGCGAAGACCTGACAACGGACTGAATGGCAGACGGGATGAAAAAGTGAGACCTACAAAAATGGAACACATACACGACTACCATGACACCAAAGAGACCTCTCGGACACCTGACAACATGGGCTATACGAGTTGACAGACGGGATGAATGTGAGACCTAATTAAAAGGGCACATACTTAACTACGCCCACTGAAGACACCTCCTAGGTCACCCGACAACAGACACGGCCGATACGAGTTGGTCAGACGGGATGAAAATGCGAGACTTGACATTACAATGGATGGGGATGGGGAATAGACAGGTGCCATGACTACACAACGGACCAGAACTGAACCCTTGCAAAACACTCCCCGCTGCATTCGCCGGCTTCTACCAACGAAAACCCTCTACTTTGGACTGGATCCGACCATGCCACTGAGAATCCGACTGCCCCTAATCGGAACTCTTCGACCTCACATCTCTCTTCCCTCGCACAGACACCTGCAGCGAACCTGTTACCTTGCACAGTTCCCCATTACAGTCATTGTCAATCCATGTTCTTGAGGGAGGGGGGATTGCGTGGATGCAAAGAGCATTGAGTGAACGTGATTATAGTAAACAGAAAGACAAAGGATCAATGTACGGACCAGCGCGCGACTAACCTCGCGATCTCCTTCTGGCTGCGAAAATGCTTCACTGCCGTAACAAAGACCGTACAGCTAACCAACGCACATTATCCACACGAGGGAGCCCTCCTCCTACTTGGCAAAGACGAAGAAACATCACTTGCTTTACTTGATGCTGCACTTGGCACCGGCACCCTCCAGTTGCTTCTTGGCATCCTCCGCATCCTCCTTAGCAACAGCCTCCTTAACCTTCTTAGGAAGACCCTCAATCATGTCCTTGGCCTCCTTCAAGCCAAGGCCGGTGATTGCTCGCACGACCTTGATCACGGCGATACGCGACGACGCGGGGACCTCCTCCAGAAGCAGATCGAACTCGGTCTGCTCCTCAACCACGGCAGCGGCCTCGCCGGCGGCGGGAGCGGCAATGCCGGCGACCGGCATCATGGCAGCGGCAGACACGCCGAGCTCCTCCTGCAGCCTGTCAGTGAGAGTCCTGGCCTGAATGAGGGTGAGGTTCTTAATCTGCGAAACGAGCTCCTCGATATCGGTGGTCGCGGCGGAGGCCACGACGCGACCGGCAGCAGCGCGGGTCTTCCTGAGAGACGCGACCGACACGACGGGGAGGGCGGATCCCCGTCGGAGGGACACGGATGAGAGGCATGGGGAGCTGGTGAGCGCAAGCTTGGTAGCGAGGGCCGCCATTTTCGAGTCTACGAGTAGACTACGGGGAGACTACAGACGGTGGCCTCGAGATGCAGTTGGAAGCTAAGGGAATGGAGAGCAACAGATGTTAGCGAGGGAACGGAGAAACGGAAAATGGCTGCAGGGTGTAGTGGGTGCAGAGGAGGGGGACCCGCAGGCAGCACACGGAACAGTGCTAAGGCGGAAGTTGAGATGGATGACGTGGCATATGGATGTCTGAGCGTCAAGGGCGGAGTGCGAGCTTGCTCGCTGCCTGCTGGGCGGATGAGCAAGGGGGAAAAGTTGATTGCGGATAGTGTGTTGATGGACTGGTGGTATACCACGCATAGATTTTGGTGAGTGTGCAGACGTGGCCTTCAAGGGCTGAGCCAGATGCGCTGTAAAGCGGATGAGTGGATGATGGAGGCTGGCGAGTGGTAGGCGCTGAGTCCACGACCGTCTGTGACTCATCGAGAAACCATCACGGGTCGAGATTGGTGTGAAAATAGAGCGTTGCACTGTAGTTATTAATCACATATATCAGAATGCGTTCCCTGTTTCTATCCAGTAATCTCTATGGTAATGTAAGGAAATTCCCTTTTCCTTACTTCGCGTCCCTGCCCAGCGCGTACGTCACTGTAGCACCTCAGTCAGCACCGTTACCACTCGCGACCATCGCATCATTCATCATCCCGCCCTTTTCGCACATCGCATCCCGACCTCACGGCTCGGCTGGTAACCCGCGCTCCGGGCCTACGCTTCGACACTTTCCCAACCTCAGTCCCAGGCTCGACGCGCGACAACCACAGTCCATTACCGTTACCACTATTGTTTCGCTATATAATCCTTCGCTCATGCCTTCGCTCATTGTACTTTTGCTTCGATAGTGCAATTCTCGTTCGTTCACTCAATTGCACTCGTAACACTTGGTATTCAGAGCCTACGATCTCATCTCGGACCGCATCCACACCTTCGCTTCCCACTATCTCAATTTTTGGGGGGGGGTAGACGTCTCTCAGCGACACAGCACCGCCGCTCGTAGTGCTCTCTCGCAAGCACGCACGGCCACGACCGAGGCTCTCGCTGAGCTTGCCCGACACCCCCGCCATGGCCGACCTCAATCTCGCCACGTTGACGCAGGAGCAACTCGATCGTCTCGTGCGACAATTGGAGGATTCGGCGCTTGAAATCGCGACGCTCACGGCGGAACGTGACTCCGCCCGTCAACAGTCAACGGTGAATGTTCCGACGACATCCCACGCACCAACCAATGTTTTTGTACATTCGGAGGAGCCGATTGTCATCTCATCCGGCACACCAACGCAACACAACAGCACGGGACAGCGCTCAGGCGCAGCCAGTGACGGCGCAGCCCAACCGATGCCCGGCATGGGAGGGAACAGGAGCACGCTAAGCCCACGGGAGCCCCGAGAAGCCCGTCGGCACGTGGAGTTTGCGGCGACAAGTGGTGAAAACGCCATGATGGCCCCAATGCCACTCAAGCCGCAACGCCCGCCCTGCTTCGACCCAAGCCAACGCGGCGGCCCGACAGTTCAATCGTGGGTCTTCACGATGAATGTGTTTTTCGACGCCAACTACGTCGAGGCGGACGCCGCCAAGATTCGGTATGCGGTTTCACTACTCAGGGGCCCCGCCATGGACTGGTGGCGAGTCATCGTGACGTCGCCACGCGCCTACGAGCCACCGTCGCACGAGGAAGGGCCCTCGGGTGTCAGAACATATAGCTTACTTGTTTCTGTAGGCTATAGTGGGGTATCCCATAGGGGGTACAACCCAATTAGGGTTTTCTATTTGTACCCACTTCATTTCATAGTCATTCATTCCCGTTCATTCAGTTTCACATGGTATAGAGCGGGTCCCTTCTAAGGACCGTTTTTTTTTTGGCCCACCCACGATCTTTTTTTTTCCTGCCCGGAGCGCGCCCTATTCTCCTCGAGGCGCGCTCCCCCTAGTGCGCGTCGCGCTGCCCTTGTGGCGCCCCGAGAGTCGCGCGCGCGACTCAATTTTTTCGCGCGCGCGGCCCGGGCCCCACTTCGCGCGGCCCTTACAGCCGCGCCGCGCCGCCCTCTCGGCTCTGCCGCGCCGCGCCGCCCTCAAGACGGCCGCGCGGCCTCTTCGTCGCTGCGGCAGGCCCCCCCCCCCCGCTGCACCTCTGTAGGCCCCGCCGCCGCCTTACCTGACGGCCGCCGCCTCACCTGACGGCCCGCCGCCTCGCCCTCTGGCCCGCCACCTCACCAGACGGCCCTGCAGCCTCACCTGACGGCCCACCGTCTCACCTGCTGGCCCGCCACCTTACCTGACGGCCCCGCCGCCTCACCTGACGGCCCGCCGCCACCTTACCTGACGGCCCCGCCGCCTCACCTGACGGCCCGCCGCCTCACCTACTGGCCCGCCACCTGACCTGACGGCCCCGCCACCTCACCTGACGGCCCGCCGCCTGACCTACTGGCCCGCCACCTCACTGACGGCCCGCCGCCTCCCCCGCTGGCCCGCCACCTGATCTGACGGCCCCGCCGCCTCACCTGACGGCTCACCGCCTCACCTGCTGGCCCGCCACCTGCCCTGTCCCGGCCCCGCCGCTGCACCCTGACGGCCTTGCCGTCCCTTGTCCCGGCCCCGCCACTGCACTGCAGCCGAGCCGCCCAGCAGCAGCCGGACCGCCCAGCAGCAGCCGAGCCGCTCAGCAGCAGCTGAGCCGCCCAGCAGCAGCCGAGCCACCCAGCAGCAGCCGAGCCGCCCAGCAGCAGCCGAGCCGCCCGATACCCGAGCCGCCCGAGCCGCCCGAGCCGCCCGAGCCGCCCGAGCCGCCCGAGCCGCCCCACCAGCCCGAGCCGCCTGCTGCTGTCCTACCCGACTCTCCTAGCCCGGTGAGACTTTCAGCTGCTGCCATGGCCACCCCCAATGTTCTTACTTTTGACGCTGAGGGGAGGGCCATTGAGTTTGCCGTCTGGATTGAAGACCTGCAGCTGTACTTACTGTGTGATGCGATAGATGAGGTCTCTCTCTTTGACTTTGTCTCTGGCGCTGTCCCTGCCCCGCCTGCTGATGCTGACTCTGCTGCTCGCTCCAAGTGGGCGACCCGCGATGCTGCTGCACGTCTTGCTGTGCGTCGCCACCTCCCTTCCTCTGAGCGTGCCCACTTTAGTCAGTGCAAGACCGCTCAGGCCTTGTACGACGCTGTAGTTGCACGCTACTCCTCCCCTTCCTCCGCTACCCTTAGCCGCCTCATGCTACCGTTTCTCTTCCCTGACCTCGCTTCCTTTCCCACTGTTGCTGACCTAGTTACCCACCTCCGCGCTAGTGACACCCGCTACCGTGCTGCCCTTCCTGCTGAGTTCCGCGCTGCGAACCCTCCTCCCATGTACATCACTCTCTACTTTCTCGTCACCCGTCTCCCTGAGTCCCTTCGTGTCGTTAGGGACCAGTTTCTCTCTGTCTGTCCCACCACTCTCACTGTCGACCTCCTTGAGGAGTCCCTGCTAGCGGCTGAGAAGAGTATTGTCGCTGTAGGGGCCTCTCGGGGTGACCCTCGCACCCCCATCTTAGAGGGGTGTGGTCCTTCCCCCCTGCTGCCCTCTGTCGCCTCTGCCGCTGCGGCCGACCTCGCTGGTTTTGAGTCGCTCGGCGCGGCGTCTGCCCCCAGCGGCAGACGCCGCTCTGGCAAGGGCAAGGGGGGAAAGGGGGCGGGTGGAGCTCGAGGGGGCGGTGGAGGAGGCGGTGGGGGTGGAGGGGGGAGTGGGGGTGGCGGTGGGGGTGGTGGCGGGAGTGGAGGTACTAGTGGCGGCGGTGGAGGCGGAGGTGGCGGCGGAGGTGGTAGTGATATTCTCGATTTTGATGATATTCTCTCTGCTATGTATGCTGCGATTGGTAGTGATGAGGATGACTGTTACCGGAGTTTCCCGCCCGACCCGGGCATTGGTACTGCCGCGTCAGGTACTAGTGAGGCTGCTGCTCTAGGTGCCAGTGCGTCTGTGCTCTCAGGTGCTGGTGAGTCTGCCCTCTCAGGTACTGTGTCGGCTTCGGCCTCTCACACCTTCACCCTTGACTCTGGAGCGTCTCGCTCCTTCTTTAGGGACCGCACCACTCTCACGCCGCTGAGTCGGCCGGTTGCGGTGTCCCTGGCTGACCCCTCTGGGGGACCTGTCCTGTCTCGCTTCTCCACTGTCCTCCCGTGTCCGGCGGCCCCCTCTGGCACCCTGACTGGTCTCTACCTCCCCTCGTTCTCGACCAACTTGGTGAGTGGTGCTGACCTCCAGGATGCAGGTGTCCACCAGTTCACCCCTGCTCGTCAGCGGGTGACCCACTGTACGGAGGCGGATACAGGTCGTCACCTGGCTACGTTTACACGTCAGCCAGGGTCGAGCCTGTACACACTGACCACTGCTTCTCCTCCAGGTGCTGCGTCTGGTAGAGTCCCTTCGTCTGGTCAGGTGTTTGCTGCAGCGTCCAAGTCTGGTCCTGAGTCTGCCCCCTGTTCGTGTCGTCGTCTGTCTCACGAGACCCTACTCTGGCACCACCGCCTTGGCCACCCCTCTCTGCTTCGGCTCCGAGGCATGGCCTCGCGGGTCCTTGTGTCTGGTCTTCCCCGGTCCCTCCCTCCCCTTCCTCCGGGCCCTGGCCCTGCCTGTGTCCCCTGTGTCGAGGGGCGCCAGCGTGCTGCCCCTCACTCCTCCCAGTTTCCTCCGACAGAGGCCCCGTTGCAGACGCTTCACATGGACGTGTGGGGCCCAGCCCCCGTCCGTGGACAGGGTCAGGAGCGCTACTTCCTGCTGGTGGTTGACGACTACTCGCGTTACACCACAGTCTTCCCCTTGCGCAGCAAGGGTGAGGTCACTGAGGTGTTGATCGACTGGATCCGCGCAGCTCGTCTTCAGCTTCGGAGGAGCTTTGGCTCTGACTTCCCTGTTTTGCGTCTGCACTCGGACAGAGGCGGAGAGTTCTCCTCTGGCCTCCTGAGTGCCTACTGTCGTGTGCGAGGCATCCGTCAGACCTTCACGCTT